CCCTGCCTGGCCCCCCCACCCTCCCCACTGGCTCCCAGCCTCAGGATCACGGAGAGGAAGTAGGCCAGGCCCAGAGGGGAACAGGCCTAGTCTCCCTTTCAGTTCCGCTCCAGGCCTGGCCCTGGGCCCAGCCCAGCGAGTGCAGAGATTAAGCAGCAAAGCCACTGGTTTCGCTCTGAATGTGGGGCCCTCCGTGCCAGCCCCACCCCCAGCAGCTGAGGAACTGCTGACCTGGTGGGCTGTGGTGGAAGGAGGATTCCCCTCCGCACCTGCCGGCCGCTGCTGTCTGCCCGCAGGGTGAGCGTGACACAGGAGCTGCCGAGTCACAAGCTCCAGGTGCAGAGCTGGAATCTGAAGCAGTGGGTCTAACATGCTGCCTGAGCATGGGGAGGCGCCAGTGAGCATGAGGACAGGACAGCCCCGCCTCAGGCCGGTCCAGAGCAGGACCCCAAAGCGCGGGCTGCTGTGTGGAGGGGCCAGGGGATGGGCTCCAGGGTCCTCCTCCCACATTCCCTCTTTTCCACCTGCCTCACAGAGCGAGCCGCTGCGCTCTCAGCCCACCTCAGTCTGTGCTTAGGTGGTCACAACGGCCAAACCACTCCAAGTATTTGTGGTACAAGCAGTAGAATCACCCACCACATCCTGCATCATCATCACTCCTGGGGAGCAAGTCTCAGCACCCAAAAAGCTGGCTTTTTGTGGCCATTGTGACTCCAGTGGCAGTAACCCATTTTTTTCTTTGCTTTGGCCGCTGGGAGGCTCAAAGACAAAGGCCCCAGTGGGGCCTGCATTTCTGCACTCACCCTATATTCAAAATTCTTTTCCCTCTAGGCTTTAGGGTTCAGTCCCGACCCTTCTGACGCTTGTGTAACCCTGGATAAAGACCTCAGCCCTCCTGCCCGGTTTTTCACGGGCTAGTAGAGCTCTAATAGCCCGTCTTCCCAGGGTTAGTGTGGTGATTGGCTGGGGCCAGTGTGGGTAAAGCCTTCCTGGGTACAGCACAGCCTTAAGTACTTAGTGTTACAGACACACAGCAGACAGCAACCCTGCAAGGAGCAAGTGTAAGGTGCTCCTTGCCCCCCTGCAGTGGAATTCACACCTATTACCTGCCTGTCTAAGATGATTTACATTAAAATAAAGTGCATTTCACTGTGACTGAAGACAATACAGTGAACTACCTTGGGTGCTTCTGAGTTTGTTTTGAAGGGAGTAGGGAAACCCTGGAAGAACAGGTTCAGTGGGCAGAAACTTGCATGCACTTCTACATGAGACGGAGCAAGTTCTGGCTCTAGGTTTATTGTCTCTGGTGCTTTTGAGGGCAGTGTAGACAGCTGTGCCTCCGCCTCTATGTTCCCCTGGTTCTCCTGGACTCCCGCCAACCTCACGGTCCCCATGACTCCGCCTAGAGGGAATGAAAGTGATGAGGAGCCAGACCTTCCCGAGTCCTGCGGGCCTTGTTTTCCCTCTGCCTTCACCTGGAAACACCCACAACCTGTGCTGCTCCCTGAGTGCCAAGGGGCCGGGCCAGGGAAGGCCCTTCCAGAGACTTCCAAGGCACTGGGCTGCGCCCCACTGCCTTGTCCTCACGGCCATCTTGAGGAGAGCCTGTCACCATTCAGACCCTCGAGACCCCAGCAGAGGGACTGGCCCCCCTCATGGAGCTCCAGTGCCCCAGGAGGAATGAGACACGCCCTTTGACTCACGGAGCTTCCGCTCTACCAAGGCAGCGGGATACCCGCACCCAACGGCAAGGAGACGGAGGGCCGCCTGGGCTACATCAAGAGCAGGGCTGAGTGCACCAGGCACCGGGATGGCCTTTGCCAAGGCCCTGGGGTGGGGAAGCACGTGGGCACGCGTGTCCCACAGTGAGGTGGTTGGTCCCAGTCGGCCGAGAAGGCCCCCTGGGCGGCGGGCTTATTCTGAGACAGTGAAGGTGGGAGCTTGAACTGAATCCCGCAGCAGAAGCAGGCCTGCTCGTGGGGCTGGACCCTCACAATGGCCCTGTTCATGCACTGCGACCCGCCCGGCCGCTGAAGAGGCCTTTATCCTCGAGTGACAACCTGGAGGAGACCACCCACTGCGGAATCTCTAGGCCACACGGGCCCTTGGCAGTCTTGTCTTCTGGGCCCTCAGTCCTCTCCTACAAAGAGCAGCAGTGGCGCTGGAAGTCTAGGTTCAAGCTGCCTGCCTCGGCCATGGCAGCCATGCCCTGAGCGCACCTCGGGGCCTTGCAGCCCGGCTGCACCATTTACAGCTTCAGTCTACATGGGGACAGTAAGCGGGTCCTGCTCCCTCCCGTGAGTAGGGGGAGGACGGGGGTGTCTAGGACGAGGGCCTGAAAACTTACAGGCTCAGCCAGTTCCACATCCCAGTCAGGTAGCTCAGTCCCCCAGCCCAGCATCCAAAATGGATGAACAAACGTGAAACGTCGTTATGGAAAATGCTTACTCAGCTCTTACTGATCGGTATCAAAACAACCTTTTTAAAAAACCACAAGAGAAAGAACATGCCCTGCCTCGTTCCACAAAGGATTTTAGTCTGGTTACAGGGACACTCAGAGGGAATTCCACTCGCCACAAGTTTGTCTCTGAGCTTCCTGGCAACCAGTGCAAAGAGGGATTTTCCAAGAGAGGGCAGCCTCTGTACTGAAGCAGAGAAGCCTGTTGAACCCATGTGTTCCCCAGACTTTGGCCACCCTTGTCCTGCTCAGAAACCTTGGGGCCGCACAACCGCCACTCGGCAACCTCCTCATCCTGGGGTTTGAGAATTAGTTCTTGGCACCCCACACCAGCACAGTCACCAACCCCATGTCACAGATGGAGAAATGGAGGCCCTGAGACGCAAAATCATTTGTCCCAGCCACAGGGAGGGGCTGAGTAGAGCTGGGCTCAGACCCCTGTCTGCCCAGGCCCAGGGCCCATGCTCCCACGGCAGGCCTTGGCGGAGAAAACCTCCCTCCTCCAGGGAGCCCTCTCTGGTCATGCCGTGGTTAGTGATTCCTGCGCCTCTCCCTCGGGCGGCCCGGGCTTATCAGGCCGGGCCATAATTTCCTGACGATGCAGCTGCCCCCACCTTCTGACTGGGAGTTCCTCTGGGGGTGGGGACAGGACACGGAGCCTTGTTCCCAGCTGGGGCCCAGCACGGGTTGGTCCAGAGGAGGTCCTTAGGGCTTGTCAGCTGGATGGGGAGTATCTGGGTGGCTGCCTGGGGCCCCAGCCCTCGGATGTCTGGGGATCAGAGGCAGACGGGCTGGTGAGTTATCTCACCCCTGCTCCCAGGCCCTCTGGGGGCAAACAAGGCAGGGAGCCAGTTCCAGGGGCTGCACAAACTGCAGGCCACAGGTCACTTCCCGCCCTGCCCCCAGCCAGGGCCACCAGCCCCACCCACAAGGGCCCTTCAAGTGCCACTCTTCCTGTGTGACCCCTGAGCAAATCACTTCACTTCTCTGCTTGAATCCTCGTCTGTAAAGTGGAGGTGATGACAGGTGTAGCCTCCAAGGCTCCTGCAAGCGGCCCTGCCTGCTGCCCAGACTCCCCCAGTCCCTGTGGGCCACATCTCCCCCTTGGTCTGCCCCGTCTCCACAGAGGAGCAGGGAAGGGATGAGAGAAGCTTCCAGAAAAGCCACATGGATCAAGTCAGCTTCCCCTCTTTCTTGGCAAATGAGATCCCACGCAAGTACCAGAAACAGAGACACCCCCCCCCCAGAGCCAAGGAAAAGGGGAGACAGACCCCCAAACAGAACCACTCTGCTCAGAGACAGGGTCCCCATCACAGTTCACACTGAGTGGCCGAGTGCTGCACCCTCCGAAGCCCCCAGGAGGCTGGGGTGGTAATTAGCCAGAGATGCTGTGGCAGACGGGCTGGGGCCTATCCACCTGTAGGGAGTCCCCCTCAGGCCCGAAGGGTTCCCCCCCACGTCAGACAGACTCACAGTGACACAGTCACAAAGCCCCTTCTCAGAGACACAGAGACCACCCCCCCACACACAGATTCACAGTGACAGGGACACAAAGCCCCTCTCAGAGGCTGGAGCTACCTCCCCCCAGAGACAAACCCCCAAGACAGAGACCCCCATACAGAGAGAGAGAGCGCCCCCCCAACACCACACAGAACCAGTCGGATCCCACAGCCTCGACCCCCTCCTGAGATGCGGGTGGCGCCCTAGTGTGGCTGAGCCAGCTGTGAGGACCGGCTGGACTTCCGCTCCAAGGCCTGCCCATGGGGGCCACACCCAAGGTGGGGGTGACCATGTCTGAAGAGGGACCACTGTGGAAGTACTTGTGGGCATGACCAAACAGGCGAATCAAGGAACTGATCCCCTACCAGACCTTCACCCGCTCATCTAGTCTCCCCCAAGGGTGACAGAAGTCCAGGCCGAATCTGGGCTGTACTTGGGGCGGGGTCCTGGGACAGGGCCTTGCAGGACAGGAGTGGCGGGCGGCAGCCCTATCCTTACTAGCCAGACCTCATGCCCACACC